GAAATGGATTGTTTTCATGAATTAGCAGCAACCAAAACCAGAAAAACCTGAAATGTAAGAGGTAAAATAACAGTGGATTAGTGAAAAAATACAGTTTGGTTGTGTTTTTCAGGGTAGAACCAGGAGAGACCTTTGTTGTTTACAGTACGACAACTGCTTCAATCAAAATTCTAAACCAGAGAAAGATGAGGACTTCAACATACATTTATTATTCATGATTTCTCACCCATTCCTCAGATCCTTTTTCACTTAATGGAAACCGAGACGAGAGAGTGACGAAAAGAACAACCGTGATCTAAATGAGCAATGTGCTTCTGTTTCTTAGACTTTAAACATGGGTTAGATACAGACCTCAAAGATCTCGTTATAACATCAGGAGCTGTTTTTACAACTGAGCTGCGCTGGACACATGGGGCTGGACATGGGGCTGGACATGGGGCTGGACACATGGGGCTGGACATGGGGCTGGACACATGGGGCTGGATACAATACAATTTACAATACAATTTATTCTTGTATAGCCCTAGGTCACAACAGAAGTCATCTCAGAGACTTAACAAAACCATTGAAATCACCAACACAGGTCAGAGAATCAACAGTTAAAACACATGAAGAATATAAAGCACACACAGAAGAAAATGTCCATACATGTTGTAGAATGCTAAAGTGTCCTGATCATCACCAATCCTTTCTGTTGGACACTAACTGTCCAACAAGACCCTCCTGCATCAACAAGGAAAAACTCTTAAAAACCCAGTGGGAAAAAGTGAGAAACCTTGGGGAGAACTAGGGAAACCCACAGGGAGGGAGACCCATATGAGAAAGGGATCCGCTCCTCCGGACGGACAGGCTAATGATCTAATGGACATGGGGCTGGACACATGGGGCTGGACATGGGGCTGGACACATGGGGCTGGACATGGGGCTGGACATGGGGCTGGACATGGGGCTGGACATGAGGCTGGACACATGGGGCTGGACATGGGGCTGGACACATGGGGCTGGACATGGGGCTGGACATGGGGCTGGACACATGGGGCTGGACATGGGGCTGGACATGGGGCTGGACATGGGGCTGCACTGGGGCTGGACATGGGGCTGCACTGGGGCTGGACATGGGGCTGGACATGGGGCTGGACATGGGGCTGGACACATGGGGCTGGACACATGGGGCTGGACATGGGGCTGGACACATGGGGCTGGACATGGGGCTGGACATGGGGCTGGACATGAGGCTGGACACATGGGGCTGGACATGGGGCTGGACACATGGGGCTGGACATGAGGCTGGACATGGGGCTGGACATGGGGCTGGACATGGGGGACTGGACATGGGGCTGGACACATGGGGCTGGACACATGGGGCTGGACATGGGGCTGGACACATGGGGCTGGACATGGGGCTGGACATGGGGCTGGACATGGGGCTGGACATGAGGCTGGACATGGGGCTGGACACATGGGGCTGGACATGGGGCTGGACATGGGGCTGGACATGAGGCTGGACACATGGGGCTGGACATGGGGCTGGACACGGGGCTGGACACGGAGCTGGACATGAGGCTGGACATGGGGCTGGACATGGGGCTGGACATGGGGCTGGACATGGGGCTGGACATGGGGCTGGACATGGGGCTGGACATGGGGCTGGACACATGGGGCTGGACATGGGGCAGCACTGGGGCTGGACACATGGGGCTGGACATGGGGCTGGACATGGGGCTGGACATGGGGCTGGACATGAGGCTGGACATGGGGCTGGACATGGGGCTGGACATGGGGCTGGACATGGAGCTGGACATGGGGCTGGACATGGGGCTGGACACATGGGGCTGGACATGAGGCTGGACATGGGGCTGGACATGGGGCTGGACATGGGGCTGGACATGGGGCTGGACATGGGGCTGGACATGGGGCTGCACTGGGGCTGGACATGGGGCTGGACATGGGGCTGGACATGGGGCTGGACATGGAGCTGGACATGGGGCTGGACATGGGGCTGGACATGGGGCTGGACATGGGGCTGGACATGGGGCTGCACTGGGGCTGCACTGGGGCTGCACTGGGGCTGCACTGGGGCTGGACATGGGGCTGGACATGGGGCTGGACATGGGGCTGGACATGGGGCTGCACTGGGGCTGCACTGGGGCTGCACTGGGGCTGGACATGGGGCTGGACATGGGGCTGGACACATGGGGCTGGACACATGGGGCTGGACATGGGGCTGGACATGGGGCTGGACATGGGGCTACCGCAATTTCTGGTTTTCAAATGACACCAAATACTTTTTAATCAATATTCAGTTACAACTAGAATTTGTAATAATAATAATACATTATATTTGTGTTCTCAAAGCCACACCTGAGGGGAAGCATGTAGAGGGTGAAGAGGATTGGATCGAGTATGGAGCCCTGGGGAACCCCACAGGTGACAATCTGATATCATCAAGTAATTAACAGTTAAAGATCACTCTTAAATGTGCTTAAGTCTAAACCTTAACCACAGTGAGCTCGAGCCCAACCCTCAAACCTCCAACCCCTGACCCATTGATCCTGGGAAAACAACTTGATCCTGGTCGGTTGATTACTTGGTGATTTCAGACCATAGTCAGGTGATTATGAAAGATTATAGAAATCCAGTAAATACTCTAAACTGGTGATGTTAAGTAGCTTTGATCAAAAAACAGTGTGGTGAAATTGTTTTATTGATTGATTGATTGATTGATTGTTATTTATTTGAGCATCTTACAAACATATTTTCCATTATTACAAGATTACACTGTTATAAAGTAGCTCAAAAGGAGTAGGCTGAAGCAAGAAAGCTTATTGTGACGTACTCAGTATTGACAAATGCGTCACAAAATCCAGATATTTGAATCCATTTAAATCAATACCTCGCTATTGCTACACATTGGGGCAGCACAAAACTAGCTCCCACTGACGACAGCCTGAGACGCTCTTGTACTTTCTTAGCTTGTTTGATTTCATGCACTTATGTCTGGTGCATGCTGGGAAACTTTTGCACATGCTTTCCAATGTGCTTGAACTGCAAATGGCCAATAAACCGAATCTGAGAAGCTCTAAACAAAGGAGAGAGTGCTTTCCACAGGTTACTAATGTGCCCGAGAGAGAGAGAGAGAGCCCATTCTCCTGCTGCGGCTCTATGTTCACGAAGGCCCCATCCCTGAGTGAGCTTTCATTGGCGATGCATGGACACAATCACACGTCAAGATCTATTTTCTGCCTTTCACAAACGCAGTCACGGCTCGGGATTTCCCTGCGAATCCCCCTCCAACCACTTGACATTTCGCGTTGCAAATTAAATCCCGACAACAAAGATATCAACTCGCGCTCTTCAGTAAATGATTAATTCCCCTTCGCGCAGGTGCCTCTACTCCTCGCCGTCAGCTGCTACCGATGCAGGTTTGAGCAGGTTTCATTCTGATATATCACCAAAAATGTCTGGTATCTGCCGTTTCTCCTTCTTCTTTACTCTGGGGGAGCGTGTTGAAAAGAGTTGAGGAATGTAGGAGAGATCTCTGTTGGCCTTCGCACAAGAAGATAATCTCTGCGTTTGGCAAATCAACATTTATTTTTCTTCCCCGCATCTCAAAGCTCATGATTACAGGCCAAATCCAGGTTCTGGGTTACAGTCTATGGGCCTAAACATGAAGCTGTAGAGAAGGCCAGAAGCAGAGTTCCCACACTCCATACAGAAAATATAGGTTACTTACTCTATTTGTTTGTGAAAATAGTTGATATTTTACGCAATGGATGGAAGAGTGGTCAGCGTGGCTTTACTTTCCATCACAAAGCTCTCTACGCTGGTGTCGGATCAATTAATGGATGGATTTCTCTGCTTTGAGATGCCCCGAACCAGAAAACATACACAACAACCGATCCTGGAACTCGGTAAACGCAAACCTTGATCCAAACTGAAGGCTAAATGCTGCGACCACATTCACCAACTCGGTTATAACAAGGTTGAAAAGATAGATCAATTACAGAAAAGGATTGGATAATGCAATTTTAAAGTAGCAATATGTAAGATTTTCATGTCAATTCATCATTAAAGGGCATTAATAAAATACTTCTTTAACTGATAACAGTAGTTCAGAGATATTCACATTTCTAAATTACTTTTCCAGCCTCTAAAGCTTGTTATTGTTTTCATTTCCATGTCCCGCCCTCCATCGTTTCACCAATCAGAAAGTCTGTGATCCGGGCGCCAGAACTCACCGCGTGGAGCTAATCTCACTGGTAAAGTACCATGTAGCGCAGAACTAAAAAAGGTCTCGTTATGATTCTCAAATCATTAACCACAAAACAAGGAATAAAACCAGGATTTCTATCTTTGTGAAAAAACTCTTGTCTATTCAGCTGTTATGGTCCCAGCTGGATTCGTCTGCATATCTGGCAACCTGAGTCAGGGAGAGTGGGAGAGGCTGCAGTACCACTTTTGGCCACATGTTTACAAACTGCTCCTTTAAAAGACAGATATTATGCATTTTTGTTTTTTTTATCATGTTTTCTCAAAAGAAATAGATCGGTCCATGCTAAAAATGTCTAAATAACACTTTTCAGGGTCTCGGTTTTATTTGATTTGAAATGAAAAGCCAAGAGAAGACGATTAATGCATAATTCTTGTTCTTTAAAGTCATTCCTTCACTGAAAACCCATTACATTCAAGTTTTATTCTATCACTTTGTTTTGACATCGAGCTTCTTCAAAAATAGACATTCAACATAAAAGTGCAGCAGATAAAAACCTTTGACTTCTACAGAATTAAAAAACGGCTGAACTTCATCCATTTCACAACCGTTCAATTGTAATGAATCTTCCGATGACAATACAACGCAATTACAGCACAACAATAAATGTATTTTACTCCAATGTTGTGTATTTGTAAATGAAACAGCATGAAAAATAGTTTTAAATGGTCTTACCTGGAGTTAAGGGACACCACACCAAGAAGAACCGGAAAGAGAAGGAAAGAAAGGAATATATCGTTAGTTATGTGTAAAAAAACATCTAAAAACAGCAGATTTACATTAGATACGTCCAGAAGTCTCATTTTTCTATTATTACACAACAGCCCTGAAAATCTACCCTGGTCTTATCCATCCGTACTCTCCTGTCAATCATCATCTCCTGCATGTAACGTCTGGGTCTGGTCCCTGTGTTTGTGATTACAATCGGTTGAATTTCGACCGACCAATCAGAGAGCGCGGGAGGCGGGTGTTGTAGTTAGTTGTGGGAGACGTCAAGAGTTTGCGTTGAACAGGCAGGTCGTAGTTTGGTGAAGAATGTGATAGTAAAGTATTCTGGTCTGGTTCTATCAAGAAACTGAAGCTGGAGCAAGAGGAATGTTTAGCAAATGTAATCTCTGCAAAGATTGTGGCGCTACTCCCCACGGGCTTCGTTAGCGGCAAAGGAGATGGCTAAAGCTAGGCTACATGCTAACAACTCACTTTACGTCACGGTAAACTCAGATCCAATGGTTTCAATCTGCAAAAAGAGTTAGCCCCTCCCACCTGTTAACGGAGTGAATGGAGCAAATCCAGACCTCAGTACAAATGTAATTAGTACTATGGTGTGGTACGACCAGGGTACTGAAAATATTACTATAACATTAAAAGTATCCCAATGTTTGTTGGTATATACAGTTTTGTTCAATGTTCTACAAAAGCACACACGCACACGCATTCAGGGAAGAAACCAAAAGAAAATATAAAAACCTGGATCCAAGAAAAAAAATAGGACTAATGTGGAATCCGTGCAGAGACTTCCTAATGTGGTCGTAGTCTTGTCAGGACTCGAGCTGCTGCATTTTGAATGTACTGCAGCTGTTTTACAGCCTGTTTGGACAGACCTGTGAGCAGGCCATTGCAGTAGTCTAACCTACTGGAGACAAATGCATGGATAAGAATCTCCAAGTCTGCTTTAGACACTATGTTTTTTATCCTGGCAATGTTTTTAGAGGCTAAAAAGCTGCTGATGTTACTGATTTGATGTGGCTATTAAAATTTAAGTCTGAGTCCAGTATTACCCCTAGATTTCTGACCTTGTTTGAAGGTTTTAGGGAGAGAGACTGTAGGTGACAGATGACGCTCTCTCTTTGTTTCTGGGGACCAAAGACAATCATTTCAGTTTTGTCTGTGTTTAGCTGAAGGAAGTTGTTTTGCATCCACTCACTGATCTGTTGGATACAGTGAAGGAGTGAGTCCACTGGTCCATGTTCTCCTGCAGTCAGTGAGACATAGATCTGAGTGTCGTCTGCATAGTTTATGATAGGAAACTTTGTTTCTGCGTATTAACTGACCTAACGGCAGCATGTAGAGATTGAACAGAAGAGGTCCCAGGATCGACCCCTGTGGTACTCCACAGGTCAGGGCCATATGATCTGAGACACAGTTTCCAATCTCCACAAAGTACTTCCTGTCCTCAAGGTAAGACCTAAACCAACTTAGGGCGGTGCCAGCGACTCCAACCCAGTCCTCTAATCTCTGTAAGAGGATCTCATGGTCGACGGTGTCAAAGGCAGCACTTAGATCTAACAAGATTAAGATTGAGAACTTTGCCTGCGTCAGTGTTCACCGGATATCGTTTGGTAAACCTTGACGAGAGCAGTCTCAGTGCTGTGGTGGGGTCTAAAGCCGGACTGAAACATATCAAATGAGTTGTTGATTATAAGAAATCTAGTAAGCTGTAGGTAGACAACTTTTTCAAGGGACTTTCCCCATAAATGGCAGATTTGAGATGGGACGATAGTTGTTAAGTACCGTAGCATCCAGACTGCTCTTTTTTAGCAGGGGCCTGATGACTGCAGTTTTCAGGGCCTTTGGGAATATTCCAGAATGAAGGGACATGTTTACTATCTGTGTGAGTGAAGGTAACAGACTGCTCAGAACAGACTTCAGAAATCTAGTGGGTAGTACATCCAGGCTGCATGTGGAGGAGCTCAAACTGGAGATTATCTCTTGGACAGTTTTATCATTTACAGGTGCAAAGTGAGTTAGCTCAGAGAGCCTTTCTGGCTGTTGGATGGTTATCTGTGGATTGGAGACAATGGCGTTTTGATGCCTTGAACCTTGTCATTGAAAAAATTGTGCAAACTCATTGCATTTACGTTTGGAAGTTAGCTCTAATGGCATTTTGAACAGGGGGGTTTGTTAATCTATTAACTGTTGAGAACAGAACACGCAGATTGTTCTGCAGCCTTCAATCATTTCAGAAAAATACCTTTCTCTCGTACTACGTAGCACCCGGTTAAACTCGCACAACTTATCTTTGAAGATCTCGTAATCAACCTGGAGGTTGGACTTGCGCCACTTCCGCTCGGCCCTCCGGCACTTTCTCTTTTGTGCCCTGACCGAGTCTGCTTTACGGCGCCTTCTGCTTATTTTTCACTATTTTAACCTTCACAGGGCAACGGTATCCAGAACATTCAAAACACTAGAGGTGACAGAGTTAAACAGTTCATCTACAGTAGAATACGATGCATTCTCAAAGTTTATCATTCCCATAAATAGTTCACTCGTATTTTCATTTATGTGTCTTCTTCGTACAGTTGCAGAGTCCACTGGTGGTTTGTTAGTGAAACACATGTAAAAAAAAAACACAGAAATGATCCGAAAGAGCAACATCGACCATGTTTACATTTGAAATATTCACCCCCTTAGTAACTAACAGATCTAGAGTGTGCCCTCTGCTGTGGGTGGGGCCACTTACGTGCTGAGTGAGATCAAAGGATTCAAGTACAGAACTCAGCTCATTTGCATTTCTGTCATCAACATTATCCACATGAATATTAAAATCACCTGTAATAACCAAACTATCAAAATCTGTGCATACAACTGAAAGCAACTCGGTAAAATGATCAATAAAACTGTGACATGACTGCGGTGGCTTGTATAGGACAACGAAGAGTATTGGAGGAGATTGTTTTTGTTGTATTTTAAAAGACACATATTCAAATGATAAAACTTCCCAAGAGACATTCTATGGGAGACAAAGTGGTCTCTAAAAATGGCAGCTAAGCCTCCTCCTTTTTTGTTTTCCCGTATTTCAGATTCAAACTTGAAATTTGGTGGTGATGCTTCTATTAAAACTGCATTTCCTGAATTTTGGTCAAGCCAAGTTTCAGCCATGAACATAAGATCAAGATTATGAGAACAAATAAAATTATTGATTAAAAAAGACTTGTTACAAAGAGATCTGACATTAAGCGTAGCAAGTTTCAAAGTTTCAGTATCAGCGGTTGTGGTCGGCTGATTCTTACACGGAACAAGAATTAGATTTTCCAGATTAGACTGATTAACTCCAGATGTTTTTCTGTAATGTATTCTTTGTGTTATCACTAAGGGAATGGCACAGGTGGCTTCATGACAGGGCCCCAGCCGGGTCTCTCCTCTAACTAGACTGCCAGTGGCTGCGAAGCAGAGACCCTGTGCATCCTAGTGTTTAGAGAAAAGAGGGGAAGGGGAAGGCGGGGGAGGAGGATGGAGAGGTGGGTGGCTTTTGGGTGTTGAACGAGGGGGGCAGGGAGGTGGAGGGGTTTTTGGTGATGGGTTAGGGCCGGGGTGGGCTGAGGCAGAGGTTTTGGTGTTGAACGAGGGGGAAGTGGGGGTGGAATGGTCATGAGGTTAGGGGAGGGACTGGCTGAGGTGGTTTTTGTAGGTGAATTGGAAACCCTAGGTGGTTTTGGAGGTACATATGGGGAGTGGTTTAGCATGTTGGACAGGACTCTAGATCTAGCTAATATGGGTGTGAGAGGAATAGTCTTCATCGCCGATTTTATTAGCCCTGCAGAGTGTTCAGGTAGGTCTAACAGTGAAGGCGGGGATGAAAAACAAAGGGACGTGTCCCCATTCTCTCTTGATGGAGTGGACGTGGCAGGGGGGACCCAAGACAGGTCCATGGGAGGTGGCGAGGGAGTCTTTGATGGAGGGGCAGGTGGTTGAGGAAACCCCAGCACAGGCCTGTCTGCTGTAGGCTGGGGTGAGGATGGGGGCTTCAGAGGCGCTGTAGATGAAGAAGGCGTGGCTGCTTTGGAGCAGGCTAGGGATGAGGATGTTGGTGGTGGTGGTGGTCGTGCTGCTGGTGCTGCTGATGACTGGTGATGATGCAGCTGCTTCTGATGACAGTGGAGGTGTTGAGCGAGGCTTTGAGAGGTGGTGATCTTGAGTGGTGTTGAGATCCTTCGAGGTGGTGGTGGTGTTGAGATCCTTCGAGGTGGTGGTGGTGTTGAGATCCTTCGATGTGGTGGAGGTGTTGAGATCCTTCGAGGTGGTGGAGGTGCAGAGACTTTTAGAGTCGGCTTCCTCCCTTTCGATGGCTGCACGCGCTGCGCAGGCTGAGGTCTCAGGGCAAAAGAAAGGTTATCCATCAACACTTTTACTCCGTAAGTGTTCAGATGTGGCCCTTTCCCTTCAAAAAGCTCATGCCTATTCCAGAACAGATTAAAATTCTCAATGAAGGCAAGTCCTCTGCGTGAACATTCGTTGAGTAGGAAAGTATTTAGCTGATACAGACGACTGAATTTCATTTGCTTCCCGTCCACATTTGGTAGTGGGCCACTGATAACGATTGTTGCGTCCATTTTAGCAAGGTCGTCCAATAAGAGAAAGTAATCCCATTTCAACTTTTCACTTGTGTTGTCATAGACGTCTACTGCCCCCACGTGGATCAACAATCTTTTTACCCCGCCGGTCTCAGACAGAAGCCTCGGAGCCAACCGCCTTATCTCATCCACTTTGGCAGAGTGTACTGAGTGAACCTTGAGATTACGCATGTTTACGCGTCTTATCGCCGAATCCCCGATAAAGAGCGACTCAGCTGCATTTGACCTTGACTGAGACTGAGACTGGGACTGAGAGACTACTGCTGATTCATCTTCCAAAAGTGGTGAAAAGCGGTTTCTTGTAATTAAAGATTTTTGCTGTGGCATTATGACACTCTTGTTATCATTAGCTTTGCCTTGTTTGGGCTTGGCACCATATGTGTTCCAACAATTGTCTCTGTTGATTTTGGGAAATGAAATAGCGTCATCATAACTTACGTTCTGTCCATGTGGTCCATTTCCTTTCACTGGTATTGTTGTGTTCAGCCCCAATTCTGATTCAAGCACAAACATTCGGTCTTGAAGAAGTTTTAGCTCCTGTTTGAGTGAAAAACAGCCGTCGCAAAGTTTTGTTCTTTTTTCCCGTCCTCCCGACATGCTGTAAGTTAGGTAAATTCCACAAGTCTTGTGTTGAAGTTTGTAAAAAGGAGTAATCCATGTTTTGTGGAATAAAAATGTAAATAAAAATGATTAAAGGAGATAAAAAAGCAGCAAGCGAGGAGCAGCAAGGGAATGCAACTGCTCTGTCCAGAGCAGTAGTAACAGTAGTACAATCATGCAAATATGAGATCCTTATTCAATGCAGGCTTTCAAAACCCTCTGGATCACTGCCCTCTGGATCACTGCCCTCTGGATCACTGCCCTCTGGATCAAAACCCTCTGGATCACTGCCCTCTGGATCAAAACCCTCTGGATCACTGCCCTCTGGATCAAAACCCTCTGGATCCAAACCCTCTGGATCACTGCCCTCTGGATCACTGCCCTCTGGATCAAAACCCTCTGGATCAAAACCTTCTGGATCACTGCCCTCTGGATCACTGCCCTCTGGATCACTGACCTCTGGATCAAAACCCTCTGGATCAAAACCCTCTGGATCACTGCCCTCTGGATCAAAACCCTCTGGATCACTGCCCTCTGGATCAAAACCCTCTGGATCCAAACCCTCTGGATCAAAACCCTGTGGATCAAAACCCTCTGGATCCAAACCCTGTGGATCAAAACCTTCTGGATCCAAACCCTGTGGATCAAAACCTTCTGGATCAAAACCCTCTGGATCACTGCCCTCTGGATCACTGCCCTCTGGATCAAAACCCTCTGGATCAAAACCCTCTGGATCAAAACCCTCTGGATCAAAACCCTCTGGATCACTGCCCATTTCTCCAAATATACAGAAAACAAATATATTCTTAACAGTCATAATCCTGACTGAGGCTTGGTTTCATTCTGCATTAGTTCATTCATGACTAATAATTTGGGTTAGTTTAGTTTGTTATGTAATCTTGTGGGTACAGGTCTAAAAATGTCAATATAATTTCAAATGTTATGTTTGATTAAAATAAGTTGTGAAAAATGTGAAACCAGACCATTGTTTTCCTCCAGACCAGACCAAGTTTAATAGTTTTTACATATTTTTATTATATTTTTTGATATGTCTGTGTTAAAAATATGTTTCAGAATCTATGAAAGTAAATTTAGTTTTTGAGTTAAAACCTTTTAAAGTCCCGATACGTGAATTGACATTTTACTGTGAAAACGCCCATATAAGCAACAACACCCAACTGCAAATCAGGAATGGAGCTGCCGTACGCTGCTAAAAATACAGAACCCATCCGAGTCTCTGTGGGTGACGCAGATGTCGTGTCAATATTCCCCGCGCTATCGGTGGCAGCGGGATGTTTGGGAAGAGGCTTTTGACAGGGATTAAGTCAGGATTTCCAGCCTTTGACGTAGACGGAGCAAAAACGAAGCCATGTTTTATCATTATTCCTTGTTGTAAGCGGAAGGTGTTCACTCTGACTTGGCTTTCGGGTTTGTAAACAGCTTCCCGACCGCGCACAAGAAAACATAAAACAAAAAACAACCATTATCCTCTCTCAGTCCTGGGTCTACAGCCTCAGTCCGGGGTCTACGGTCTCAGTCCTGGGTCTACGGTCTCAATCCTGGGTCTACGGTCTCAGTCCTGGGTCTACGGTCTCAGTCCTGGGTCTACAGCCTCAGTCCTGGGTCTACAACCTCAGTCCTGGGTCTACAGTCTCAGTCCTGGGTCTATAGCCTCAGTCCTGGGTCTACAGCCTCAGTCCGGGGTCTACAGCCTCAGTCCGGGGTCTACAGCCTCAGTCCTGGGTCTACAGCCTCAGTCCTGGATCTACAGCCTCAGTCCTGGGTCTACTGCCTCAGTTCTGGATCTACAGCCTCAGTCCTGGATCTACAGCCTCAGTCCTGAATCTACAGCCTCAGTCCTGGATCTACAGTCTCAGTCCTGGGTCTACAGCCTCAGTCCTGGGTCTACAGCCTCAGTCCTAGGTCTACTGCCTCAGTCCTGGATCTACAGTCTCAGTTCTGGGTCTACAGCCTCAGTCCTGGGTCTGCAGTCTCAGTCCTGGATCTACAGCCTCAGTCCTCGTTCTACAGCCTCAGTCCTGGGTCTACAGTCTCAGTCCTGGGTCCACAGCCTCAGTCCTGGGTCTACAGCCTCAGTCCTGGGTCTACAGCCTCAGTCCTGGGTCTACCGCCTCAGTCCTGGATCTACAGCCTCAGTCCTGGATCTAGTAAAAAACATATAATGAACCCTGACAGTGAGCAGGATTGCCACTGCACAATCCGGACACGGACTAGGATCTTTTTGTCTTCCACAGAATGACATAAAACATTATTGATTCCGTTCTGAAGTGATTTCTTTAACATTCTTGAATCGTCCCACAGAGAGAGAAAGTATCACGCTGTTTACTATTGATAGATGTCTCAGTGATTCATGTTTTCTGTAAATCCATCCATACATTGAGTGTCTGGCCTATTACTGCTGGTCTATATTCTTCTCCATTGAAAGCAGCGCCCACAGCTCAGTCGTCCCATGTCTCAGTATTGTTTCCTCTTGAGTTCACACGGTCGGCCTCTCACAGCGCGCCGCGATCTGCCAGTTCATCCATCTCCTACTTCCCTTCAACAGTCAATTTGTTCCACAACGCAATCTTTCCACTGCAGCAGACAAGGACTTCCAATACAGGTTTTTTCTTCCGGCTCGGCACAAACACAGACGCTTTCTCAAACACGAGCTATGTACGCAACAAAACTTATTCATAACTTCAAAAGATGTGAGATGAAAGGGAGAATGGAAGTAGGTGGAAAATGCATTGGACCAGGCTTATCGGAAAAGGTATGTTTAAAGCTTTCGTGTTCCCGTTGGAGAAAAAACTACTTCAATCACGAATCTGCAGATGTTACGGCTTCTCTCTGTTCATATGCTTTTGTTATTGTCAAAGTAAAGAGTATGGAGACGAAACGGGCACGATTCGCAGCTGTATTTGTGATAAGAATGAGGGTGAATCCCAAGAACACAAACATATATGTGTGTTAAATGTGTTGTCTACTACAGCAGCACCAGTTCTTCCTCATGCGGTTCAACTTTCTACAAGCTGAAATAAGGTCAAACTGTTTTTTAAAGGTCCCAATGCATTTAAAAAGGTAATTTACGACATAGCGGTGAGAGCAGACCCATTCTGTGAAGGGTTTTGTGCTGGTTAAAGGGCATGTCTGCAACTTTATTTGTATTACACTCATTTAAAATAATGGGTAACATTGGGTAATTCTCTTTCCGGGTACACCCCCACCCCGACCCGGAGTGAGATTGCAGCATGTCAGGGCATGTGCTGTTGGACAATGTACAGACATAAAAGGTGCAGTAAGCGATTTTGTTAGCTTAGCCGTAGCACCAACTGGAAACCACTCCCCCCTCCCCTCCCTCTCCAACAAACCACTCCCCCCTCCCCTCCCTCTCCAACAAACCAAACATCCAGCATTTTCTTTTCTTTGTCACAGGGAGAGTGAAGCAAACGTGAAATTGGCATTTTCTGTTCAGCCATTTTAGGTTTTAGAAAATCCGATAACTCCGGTGCACTCTGAGAAACAGGAAGAGGGTGAAGGGGGTAAACACATCCCATTGGTTCGTTGGAGATGAACGAATCCCATTGGTTTATTTTTATATATTGTATTCATTTTTGGAGACTATAGACATCTGCTCAAACCTATTACTATTTGAAAACACATGAGAACTTGATACTTTTAGGATTTAGGGACGTTTTCCCACAATACTGCATCTTTAAGCTCAAAGACAGACATGTTTTTTCACCAGATTATAGCTAAACAGTCAGTTTCCATCTGCAGTCCCTGGTGACATGAATGAAATAGATGGAAACTGTAACATGTTCATGGGTCCCTCTCGAAAACGAGATGCCGCTAAATAAAAAAACATATTAAAAATCAAACCAAGTACGTCCTAATCTGGCCGATGGAAGAGCAGCAGATGTGAGCTTTTCCCCAACATCTGCCTCCTCTGTCCTGCTGCATCACAGATCTGCTGATCACGCTAACCAGGCTAACTCCCACCGCCTGCTGTCCGCTCTGATGCCTCCGCCACAGCTGGCCGCAATAACAACCAAATATGTCATATAAATTAAGTATAGAGAGAAAGAGACTAGATAGAGGCCAGAGAGAGACCAGAGAGAGACAAGAGAGAGACAAGAGAGAGACAAGAGAGAGACAAGAGAGAGACAAGAGAGAGACAAGAGAGAGACCAGAGAGAGACCAGAGAGAGACCAGAGAGAGACCAGAGAGAGGCCAGAGAGAGACCAGAGAAAGACCAGAGAGAGGCCAGAGAGAGACCAGAGAGAGACCAGAGAGAGACCAGAGAGAGGCCAGAGAGGGACCAGAGAGAGAGACCCGAGAGAGACCAGAGAGAGAGACCCGAGAGAGACCAGAGAGAGACAAGAGAGAGACTAGGGAGACGCAAGAGAGACCAGAGAGAGACCAGAGAAAGACCAGCGAGAGACCAGCAAGAGACCGGAGAGAGACAAGAGAGAGACAAGAGAGAGACAAGAGAGAGACCAGAGAGAGGCCAGAGAGAGACAAGAGAGAGACAAGAGAGAGACAAGAGAGAGACCAGAGAGAGGCCAGAGAGAGACCAGAGAGAGACCAGAGAGAGGCCAGAGAGGGACCAGAGAGAGACCAGAGAGAGGCCAGAGAGAGACCAGAGAGAGAGACCAGAGAGAGACCAGAGAGAGGCCAGAGAGAGACCAGAGAGGGACCAGAGAGAGGCCAGAGAGAGACCAGAGAGAGACCAGAGAGAGAGACCAGAGAGAGAGACCAGAGAGAGACCAGAGAGAGGCCAGAGAGAGACCAGAGAGGGACCAGAGAGAGGCCAGAGAGAGACCAGAGAGAGACCAGAGAGAGACCAGAGAGAGGCCAGAGAGAGACCAGAGAGGGACCAGAGAGAGAGACCCGAGAGAGACCAGAGAGAGACAAGAGAGAGACTAGGGAGACCCAAGAGAGACCAGAGAGAGACCAGAGAAAGACCAGAGAAAGACCAGCGAGAGACCGGAGAGAGACAAGAGAGAGACTAGAGAGAGACTAGAGAGAGACGAGAGAGACAAGAGAGAGACCAGAGAGAGGCCAGAGAGAGACCAGAGAGAGACCAGAGAGAGACCAGCGTGAGACCAGAGAGAGACCAGAGAGAGTCCAGAGAGAGAGAGACCAGCGAGAGACTAGTGCTGCATCACAGAACTGCTGATCACGCTAACCAGGCTAACTCCCACCGCCTGCTGTCCGCTCTGATGCCTCCGCCACAGCTGGCCGCAATAACAACCAAATATGTCGTAAAAATTAAGTAAAGGAACGAGTCCAATAGCTACACACAATACACTGTGGTTCTGATGTCTTTCATTAGGTCCTGGTCTCAATCCAAAGCATCTGTACTGAGGAATAAATCAGAGATTGTAATGTCCAATTAAAGCTGGGGTTTGTAACTTCTAACCCACGACCACAAAGTCCAGATTGAGACTTAATGTATTGGGTTGTATGGACTCTACAGCTGACATTTCCTGTGTTATTAAGCGGTAAGTTTTGATTAAAAATTGAGAGGGCGGTTCTTTCCTAAAATGTGGGGATATCCTCCTATAAACATTTGCGTACGAGCAGAGACAGAGATTAGAGAGAAGTTAGAGCTGCGTCTATGACATGAAGAAGACGCTCTGAACGTTATAAACAACTCTCCTCGTCCTCGACACCTTTGAACCTCTCTCTTCAGGATTTGAGGTTTTGAGTTTTCTCTGCTACAAAAAAACTTTGAACCTCCGCTGAAATGCTGTAAGTTTCTATCACTGT